TTTAAAGATGAGAGCCCACCAGAGGGATGGGAGAGGACTGCCTCTTCCCACCCTGGGCATAGCAAAAACTCTGTTGGACTGGAAAACAGCCTCACCCCAGCAGACTGACACTCCTGTGCCAAGAAGCCCCTGAGCTCCCCAGCACAGGCTGCTGGAGTGAGGACCAACCGCCCACCCTCCAGCTCCCTGCCCTCAGTTGCCCCTGCCCTCAGTGGAAGCACATGTAGGAAACATGCATCATGTCAAGCAAGGACGAGGGAGCCCTCTATCTCCATGGGAAGTAGAGAGGCCTACACACACCAGCCTCCCCACGGGCGCCCTGCAACTCTACCCCAGGAATTTCTGCCCTTACGTCTGCCTGCAGCTCCCAGGAGAAGCTGAATGAGTGTGTGTATGTGGGAGTGAGTTAAGGGACACTGAAAGGCCCAGGGAAGTTGAGTCTCAGACTCTGGACCATCCTCCCCAATTCTTGCTGCTTATGATAGCTTCAGAGGGAGGGCCTGAACTAGAACCATGGGGGCAGAGAGGCCTCTGCGGCTCAGTGCAGGCCACTCATCTACCACACGGACCAACTCTGGACACAGAGAAAAGGAAGACCCTTGGGGATCAGGACTCAGTGGCCATCAAAGCCCATCTCCCTGAAAGAGCTGTGCTGGTGACTTTGGCATCATAAGAACAGGAAGGCTTCTCTGTAGGGTGTGAGGACTTCAGGGAACTAAAGATGCCTGGTGCTGAGTATAGCAAGTCTTTCTCTGTCCCACCAGCCAGCTCTCAAATAACCACACGGAGACTTATCATTCATTATGAAAGCTTGGCTGGTAGCATAGGCTTGTTTCTAACTATCTTCTATAACTTAAATTAACCTATTTATTTTAATTATTAAATTAACCCATCTATTAATCTCTGTGCTGCCATGTGGCTCATGGCTTGTTACCTCATCTCCTACCTGTCATGCTTCCATGTCCCCCCACGATTCCTTCTTCCCAGCATTCTCTCTGCCCAGAAAACCCTGCCTCGCTATTGGCCATTTAGCTTCTTATTAAACCACTCACAGTAACAGATCTTCATACAGTGTAAAGGGATATTCCACAACACCTAAGGATCTGGGGGAGGGGGGTGCAAATGTGTTCATGTCTCTGTGTACCTCAGCTCCCCAATCAGCTCCAGCTTCCAGAAGGGCCATTTAGTTCACAAAGCTGAGGTCCCATGGGGGTCTCGATCTAGAGCTGAAGACCAGCATGGGGACTACAGCTCAGGATGTGACCCACCACACCCTGAGACAAGCTACCTGCCTTAGGCCTGTGATGAGATCTGTGCCCAGAATGCCTCAGTGGTGGTGATCTGTCCCCATGTGCTTACTAATGATGTGGCCTCTCCCTCTGCTCCCTCAGCAACCGTGTGACCGGTGTGTATGAGCTCAGCCTTTGCCATGTGGCCGACGCAGGTAGCCCAGGTAGGAGACCGTCTTGACTACTCTCTGCTGGGGCAAAGGGCAAGGGGCAAGGGTCCCGGGATGCCTGGCTTGCTTAGCCTCCACCACTCTCCTTGGCTTGACCTCTGCTAAGTTGGGAGCCTCGCCTGCAAAGTGCAAGTGTTTTCTCTCCAGCCTCTAGAGTGTTCTCAGATGGGAGGGCAGAGAGGAGGAGTCAAGTTTGCTAGCTGCTCTGGCCACCTACGGCATAGTCACATGGGAGGGGGACTGCTAGACAGCCTCCCGTGGGTGAGGCCCAGGGGAGCCAGGCTTGAACCCAGAAAGGAAAGAACTTTGGCGGCTGATGGGAGAAGCCTGACGTCTGTCAGAATGCTAGAGTGTCGATCCCATGCAGGGATGCAGCGCCGGCGCCGGCGCGTGCTGGACACGTCAGTGGCCTATGTCCGGGGTGAGGAGAACCTGGCTGGCTGGAGGCCTCGGAGTGACAGCCTGATCCTGGACCATCAGTGGGAGCTGGAGAAACTGAGCCTCCTACAGGAGGTGAGCGTGGGAGCCACTGGGGACCGAAAAGCAAGTTCCAGCTGTGACCCAGAATGAAGCCCAAGTTAAGCCAGGGAGCCCACCCTCGGGAGCTGCCACTGCTAGTCTAGCCACAGGGTGCACATGGGAAGCGGGATCCAGAGGCATAGTCCCCTAGTGCTCCCGGCAGGGCCCGTGAGCCTCGTGGGGACGGCTAGCTATGAAGGAGACCGCGAGGCTTGTCTGGAACTTCTGAATCCTGCCAGCGGTGTGTCCCTCAGGTTACCAGCCATAACCCGGGCAGGGAAGACTTCCCCACGCTTTACCAGAGGACCTTGCTGCTGTGCAGGGCGGCTGGCCACCTACTCTGGCTGCTGCCATCTCTCACCGTGGCCCCCCTTACAGGTGGAGAAGACGCGGCACTACTTGCTCCTACGGGAGAAGCTGGAGACCACCCAGCGGCCTGGCCCCGAGGCGCTGTCCCCAGCCTCCAGCGAGGACTCTGAGTCCCGCAGCTCCTCAGGTGCCTCCTCCCCACTGTCCGCTGAGGGTCAGCCATCGCCTCTGGAGGCCCCCAATGAGAGGCAGAGGGAGCTGGCCGTCAAGGTAGGCTGGGCTGGTGGGTGTTGTGGCCATGGCAGTGGCCCAGCCTGGTTTGTGGCCAGCTTCGGTCTGAGTGGCCAGGAGCCAGGGGGTAGGGGGTAGGGGGCCAGCTAGTCCCTTGCCTGCTACCTCACCCCACTTTCCTCTCCTTCAGAACCCTCAGCTTGAGGCCTTTTATAGGTTCCTCCCCAGCAGTGACTTGCCATCTCATGAATCCCTGAACTGCTGGGGAGCTAGCTCCCTGCCTCCAAGCAGAGCCGGGCCACTTAGGGAGGCCTTGTGTCTCTAGGTGATGCTAAGTCCTAGCCTTCCCGGAAGCAGAGTGTGGGAGTGCTGCCCCCTCAGCCCGCTGTTCTTCAACAACCCCCATCTGACAATGTCTGGGACAGGGCGGATGGAGGCCCCATGCTGCCGCGGGTGCGGGTCTAACCGTGTGTTCTCTGTCGACAGTGCTTACGACTCCTCATGCACACGTTCAACAGAGAGTACACCCACAGCCACGTCTGTATCAGTGCCAGCGAGAGCAAGGTAGGCACAGGCCCCGGGGCCCACCGTCATGGGCGGCCCTGGTCTTGCTGGGCAAAAGCAGGGAAGGTTTTCTTGGGAACTTCCCTCTCAGGGCCCAGTGAGGTGCCTCACAGCTGAACAGCTGGTTCCCTGGGCCTGAGATCTCAGGAGGCTGGCGTGTGAGTGAGGACCCGACCCAGCCCGGCCCAGAGCACGTGGTGTCTACCCAGGCCCTGTCTTCTGCTCTCTTCCTAACCCCTTGACATTCCCCCCGCCCCATGGGACCCTCGTCCTGCAGGCTCCTACCAACTCCAGAAGCTCATGCCCCACCCCAACCCCCATAGCCTCTGAAGGGGGAACCCACCTGGGTCAGGGCAGTCTGAAGCCCTGGGAGAAATAGCCGGGACTGTGTAGGAGTTAGAAGAAGGCCAGGAGTACAAAGATAAGGAGCACCTTGAGCTGGAAAAAGCAGGAGTGAGGGCACACTAAACAGAAGAAAAAAACGCAGACCAGCCCCATCCTCCTCGAGGCCCAGAGGTCCACCTGAGGAAGACTTTCTGTGTCCTGCAGCTCTCTGAGATGTCTGTCACCCTGATGCGGGACCCATCCATGTCCCCTCTGGGTGCAGCTACGCTCACCCCCTCCTCCACTTGCCCCTCTCTGATTGAAGGACGCTATGGTGCCACCGACGTGAGGTGAGTGAGCTCTGTGCTAGTGGGGGAGGGCAGAGGCTCCAGGGCAGGGTGGGAAGGAAACCCCGCCTCCCGTGATGCTGAAACCTCACTGTCTGGTTGCTAAGATTTCTGGCTATTTTCGTTCTTTTCTTTAAAGAATGCTTTGGACTTTCCAATTAAAAAACAAAAGCAGAAGGTATGGGGCCTTCGCTGGTCCTCAGCCACCTTGGCCCGTCCTGGTTGTCTACTGCACCAAGAACGCGGAGCCACCGCTGAGCAACAGTGGCCATTTTAGAGAGGAAGGGGAAGCTGTGTGGGCTTTAAACAGGGCAGAGACCGGAGAATGTCCTGAAGGAGGGGTGGCGCCTCCCCAGCATTTCAGAGCCTACCCTGGCTGAGCGGCTGGTGGAGCCTTCTCACCCAGTCCGGCGGCCCTGGAGCCAGATGGACTCTGAACCCCAGGAACTCCTCTGGAGGACTCAGCCAGACAGTCCCTGCACTTTTCCCTAGCAGCTCTGAGGAGGGCGTTCCCAGGGAACACCAGGCCCTTGAAGGACCCTGGCGGAAGGCAATGTTACCTTCCATTTCTAGGACCCCCCAGCCCTGCTCCCGGCCCGCCAGCCCAGAGCCGGAGCTCCTGCCGGAACTTGACTCCAAGAAGACTCCCTCCCCTACTGGAGCAGCAGAGGCAGACAAGGAGCCCCAGCGCCTGCTGGTCCCCGACATCCAAGAGATCCGAGTCAGGTATGCAAGGTCTTTGCCTCCATCAGAAGCTTTCTTTCTTTCTCTCTTTCTCTCTTTCTTTCTTTCTCTCTCTCTCTCTCTTTCTCTCTCTCTCTCTCTCTCTCTCTCTCTCTCTCTCTCTTTCTTTCTTTCTTTCTTTCTTTCTTTTTTTTTCAGTGTTTCTCTGTGTAGCTTTGCGCCTTTCCTGGAACTCGCTTTGGAGACCAGGCTGACCTCAAACTCACAGAGATCCACCTGCCTCTGCCTCCCAAGTGCTGGAATTAAAGGCATGCACCACCACCGCCCGGCTATCAGAAGCTTTCTAGCAACAGGCACTCAGCCCTGTGTGCAGGGCAGAGCTTGGGGGACCCCTTACCTGTGTACAAGGCAGACAGGCCCCTCTGGCCCTTGGGAACAGAGCAGGTAACCATCAGAGAGTAGAGGGCAGGTGAATGGGGCAGAGATGGGAACCTAGTAGACACTGGGCACGGGGCAACTGCTCTGGGACTTTACCTTTTTTCCTCCCAAATCTCCCCACTGAAAATCGGGGAATTATCCCAGGTATGAGTTGGTAGTTCTGTTCTGGATATCCCAAGGCAATCTGTCAGCTACCCCTTCACACCTGTCTCCTTCCTTCCTGAGGACCTAGTGCAGGGTAACAGAGTGCGGGCCCCCCTGTGGGCTTCCCTATCCCGACTGCCCAAGGTTCCTGAGCCAACCGATGTGTCTCTACCTCGCAGCCCAATCGTCTCCAAGAAGGGGTACTTGCACTTCCTGGAACCGCACACGGCTGGCTGGGCCAAGCGCTTCGTGGTGGTGCGGCGCCCCTACGCCTACATGTACAACAGCGACAAGGACACCGTAGAGAGATTTGTGCTCAACCTCTCCACTGCCCAGGTGGAGTACAGCGAGGACCAGCAGGCCATGCTCAAGGTGCGGCCAGGGCCCAGCTCAGATGTACTGGGTCCGCCCCGGGGGAGGGGGGGCGGGGGGTGCCCACTGTTGCCTCTTCGGCTGTTAAAGCCCCTGACCTGTCCTGTCTGAGCCTCAGCAAGGCTCCTGGTAACCACTATTGGTGATTGATAGCAAGTATTGCCATTCACCCACGCAAACGGTCAACAGCTAGGTCCTGTCCTGGGGTCCCCGAGGACCCTGGCAGGTGAGGCAGAACCTCACAGCCCCCACAAGCTCTCTTGCCCGAGGCATTGATCCACAGCCCTCCACAAGCAAACAGTGCCCTAAAAGTGTGGGAGCCAGCTCCTTGCCGCTGGTTAGAGGGAAGGTACTCCAAGACTGTGGAAGGAGGCTCCAGTGCCCACTGGATATTTTATTCCCTGTGGTGAGAATTATATGAACCTAATTACTGCACACAACCAGCCCAGAGGGCACAGATGAATGGGGCACTTCAGCCAGGGTCCCGGGCTCATAAAGGTCAGAGTCATTCCCCGGGGAGACAGAGCAGCATGAGCATAGAACTGGAACAAGTTTCCAGACCTCAGAAGCTTCCAGAATGGAGCTGCATGCCTATGTGATCAGGACAAAGCATGTGCTTTACGGAGAAAGCAGCCGCCCCCACGCCCAGGGGCTGCTGTGCTGTGGAAGGTTGGCCTTCTCTCCCAGCCGGCTCTTGGTGTGGGATGGGAGTGACCCTGCCACCACGGAGCCTGCTCACCGGCAGCTTCCCTCTACAGACACCCAACACCTTCGCTGTGTGCACGGAGCACCGAGGCATCCTGCTGCAGGCCAACAGTGACAAGGACATGCACGACTGGCTGTATGCCTTCAACCCGCTCCTGGCTGGGACCATTCGGTACGGGCTAGGCGGAGAGACGGAAGGAAGAGGAGACATCACGTGGAGAGCTAGCCTATGTCCGACCCTCCATGCTCTTGGGGCTGGGGCAATCTTGATCATGCTGGTATCTAAAGTGGCAAGTCCACGGAGTCCGTCTGATAGTCAAAAGGGATTTATTCTGGGTTAACGCACAATCTGTGTAAGGGAGTTGGTCACAGGATCCAGGAGGGGTGGGGCGTGGTCCAACGCGGTTCTCTGGAGAACTCTGCCTTGGTCTGCAGTACCAGCATCCAGCATCCAAGACCACGAGGTAGCCAAGAGAATGAGTGTGTTACACATTCCAGGTCTAAAGGGGTCCCCCCCTTGGCCACGCCCCCCGGAGGGGGGGCAGGTACCTAGCAGTTACCTGCTGCCTACTAGGGGCGGTGCTTCAGGCTAAAGCACAGACAACCACCCCTACCTGTACCTGCTTCTGTGTCCTTATTGCTAATGCAAAAAGTCGGTTGGAAGACTTTCTGAATGGACGGATCTAATGGATGGATCCAGGCCCCTCTGGGGGGACCCCACCTCTCCCATATCGCAGACTTGATGAAGGACCGTGGGGAGGGCTGAGGTGCCCTCCCAAAGCGCTGATGTATCGGATATCAAGTCTCCACGAGTCTAAGGGGCTGAAGAAGCCGCGTGGCTATGGTGTGGTGTGGGGTCTGCTGAGCTGCCCCTGGCTGCTGGAGGGCCCCGGGGGGGGGGGGGGTCAACGCCTGACTCTGACTGCAGCATCTTTACCCTCGCCCTTGCAGGTCCAAGCTCTCCCGGAGGAGATCTGCGCAGATGCGGGTCTGAGCCGAAGCCTTCCGGACATCCAGTGGCCCAGACCACTCCCCTGTCCTTCTCATCTGTCCCTGTCATCTGCCACTCAGCCCTTCCCCCACCAGGGGACACCTGTGCTGGGCCCAGCAACCCCACCTCTGGCGGGAGGCCTATGCCACATGACGAATTGTGCCCCCAGAGGTTGTGTGTGTTGTTGTTTCTTCCAAAATTGCTCTGGTGGGAAGTTCGGAATGCCAGGAAGGTCAGAGGGCACAAGACCCAGGGTATTGCCGCTGTTCTAATATTTTTTTAAGCATAGACAGACTTATAATTAATATACATTAGTTAGTGGCGTTGAAGCAGTCCTCTGAGACATTAACTATAAGACTGTGTTCTGTTTATAAGTATTTATTTCTAATGCCTCCAGGTAGGACTGTAAGGTTCATGTGGAGCTCTCCCCAACACCCTGCCTCCTCCCCCCCCAGCCTAGGCCCTGTTGGTTCCCACGTATGTCTCCAGCCTGCTAGGAGCAGAGAGGAGGAGTGTGAACAGCCACGGCTCCTAACAGCTGGCACAGGGGTGCTCCGCCCTGGCCAGTTTTGTCTGAGATGCACCCACCAGGGTATGTACGTAAGGGGTCTGCAAGTCCCGAGACTTAGGCAACTCAGAAGGTGCTGTCTGCCGCTTCTGAGGGAACAGTTCCCAAGATGGCGTGCTAAGGGTGGTGTAGGCAGCTTCCTTCAGTCCCGGAGTGGGGAGGATCAGATGAGGTGTACGGAAGGTCAGGCCCTGCTAGGCAGTGCAGACTGGCTCCAGCTGGGCTGTGTCCAGGCTGCTGGGTAAGGTGGTCGGGTTTACACAGGGCTTGGGGGTCAGGGCGGGCAGAGTCCACTGGTGTTCAGGATGAGGTCTCTGACTTTAGCCTTGGGTGTCGTCGTCGGTGAGAAGAGGGGTGGATATGTATCTTCGGGAAGGTTCTGTGATCAGTGATCCCTTACAGTCTCTGCCCAGCGGGTAGAGCGTCTCTGTCAGTCTCAGCAAGAGAACTCAACGAGTGATGTGTGTCCTTGTCAGGCAGATGAGGGTGACCTCGTGGTGGTCTTGGCAAAGGGACTCTCCCCTTTTGCATCTGGGGGAATTTCCATACCACGGGCCCATGTGGAAAACCAGAAACCAAACCTCAAGCCCCCGGCGCCCACCGGGAGCAGTTACACTCAGCTACTTCAGGTCTCTCTCACCACCTTGACCAGCCCCTCCCCCTCTAGATAAACTGCTGGGTCTGAGCCCCCTGTCAGCCCAGGCTGTCTCCACATGTCCCCACATGACTTGGCATGGATATTCTTAAGACCGTTCACAGCATCTCTACTGACTGGAGAGCCATAAGGGAAGGCTCTGGTTTCGAGGTCCCTCCTCAGCGTAGTTATCGAGGGCCCTGCCCTTCATCCAGGTGTCAAGATTCAGGGTGGTGCCAAGGTTCCCACCGGCAGCAGTGTGTGCACCTGCCAGCCAGTGTGAGCCCTGCTGAAGCTGAGAATTCACTGTCACTGGGGCCAGGTGCCATATGGGTGGCCACCATCATGCTTGGCCCAGCCTCATCCCTAGGACCCGAGGTAACAGTCCTTAGCATCAGGTCTCAGGAAACCCTATCTTTGAAATGTAGGATAAGACTCGCTTCTAAGAATCCAGATCAAGATGTCCACCCCAGACCAAAATTAAACCATAACCAGAAACCAGGTGACCTGCGCTGTCCATTGTGGACCTCAGAGGCAGGAGACTGAGATACAGAGTGGAGAGGAGACATCTGGGTCCTTAACAAGCTCACTCTGGCACTCATGAACTGCTCAAAGAAGGGAAAGAGCGAGTTACTGAAATTTCTTGGTTCCCAAGAGAGAGCCACACAGCCACACAGCTCCCAGCAGGCAGAGAGGCAGTCAGGCCTGCCATGCTCGCTCAGGTCAGCCAGCCTGAAGCTGAGGCCTTGGAAGAGTCCGGCGCCACCCAGCATGTGGGTGTCTGAGGCCAGCCAACCTACAGAGCACCTGTGCCTGGGTC